CTTTGTTACTGTTGGAAAAGAAGTACAGATCATGAGGACCTACACTGGCCCTGCTAAAGGTCCCTCTGCATAGTGATGAATATGGATGCATTCACACTATACAACAGTGCTGAATATTGTAATTCCACAATAAAATCAATTCAGAGCAGCAGAACAGGATCTTTCAGGAATAACTGCCATGAATTGCATCAGACCTGTATACCATTTTCCAGATATAATGAAAAATGGTAAAAAGTCATGCAGAATTCCTCATCGTCCTGTCTAGTTACTAAAATACAAAAGGAAGATTATTTTTTCCCAGTTCTTCCTCTTTTAATAGTGCTATACAGACAAGAATATTAATCACGTGGCACATAAAAAGAAACTGAAAGTGTCTCACATGTTCCTTGTTTCAATTCTCTTCCCAAGAAAAAGAAACTCCAGAAACTCAGGAACTAAACTCTCACAAAACTGAAGAACTCAGTACTCAGACAACTGGTAGACTCTTTAAGACTTACCAGGTGTAAAAACCAGCTGCACAGCTCTGGTAAACCATTGCTCCCAGTTAGGGAAAGCACCTCCAGTAAGGGAAACCCCACGACCCTTGCTCTCAGCAGCTTCCCCTAGCTCTCTCGACTTACAGAGATCCTGAGTAAATCAGGACTCACAGATTCTTCCAGAGACACCGTAACTCGCAGAATCTCAGAATACTTCGGGTTGGAAGGGACCTGTGGAGATCAGCTAGTCCAACTCCGCTGCCAAAGCAAGGTCACCTAGAGCAGGTGACACGGGACCACGTCTAGGTGGGGTCTGAGTGACTCCAGAGAGGAATCCTTTTTCCTCTTACCGCCACGGATGCGGACGGGCCGAGCAGACCGAACCCCACCACCCAGTCTCCGGGTACGGCGCGGGAGTCGGCGGAGCGCGGCCGCCCCGCACCCCGGCAGGGCAGAGACAGTGAGAGCAGCCGCCCCCCGGCCCAGCCGGGCAGCGAGGCCTCCCGGCGGCGCGGGGGGAGGGGGGCCGCCCGTCAGGACGCGAGGCAGGGCCGCCGCTGCCGCCCCACGCGAGGCGAATGCGGGAAGTGCTCCAGATGGGCTCGACGGAGCGGCCGTAGCGCCCCCCGGGCCCGGCGCGGGCGGGGAAGGCGAGGCCGCACTCACCTCTCTGGGGGACGAAGTCGCGGCCTGCACGGAGGCGACGTAGCGCTCCACCTCGGGCTTCGTGCGCCTCATCATGGCGCCGCCGCGGCGGCGGAGGCCGCGCCCGGGCTGCCTCCCGGCGGAGCGCAGTTCCCGGCCGGCCGGCGGGCACGGCCCGGCGCCGCGGAGGGGCAGGAGCGGGAGCGCAGGGAGAGGAAGGCAGGAAGCGCCGGAGGAAGCGCAGCAGCGACGCGGCCGCCGCTCGTTACGCAAGTTCCCGCGCCCCGTGCGGCGCGCGCAGCCCCGGAGAGTGGGCGGGGACCGCCCCCGCCCCATCAACGGCCGGGGGGGCGGGGTCGGCAGGGGCGGCGCATGCGCAAGGGGGCGGGACGGGAGCGCGCAGCTGCCGAGAGGCGGGGCGGGGCAATCTGTCGCAGGAGATCATCGGCTGTAGCGTTTGCTCACCTGCAGCTGTAATAAACTCTCACCTAAAACTATGTAACTCTCATCCAAATAACATATAATAATGTATTAGGTGATAATATATTTATCAGCTAAATAACTCATTCACTCATGGCTAGGCTTCGCGAACGAAGGTTTGGGAAGGGCTTTACCCACATTTGCTACAAACGCGCTGGTGGCTAAAAAAGCCAATGCGAGATAGACAAGACCGGTTGCAAAAGGCACAGCAGGAATATACTCTCTCTATATATATATATATATGTATATAAAATAAACTCTCACCTAAAACTTTGTAACAGTTCCGGTGCTCCTGCATAAGGAGGACACAGAACTGCTAGAGCAAGTCCAGAGGAGGGCCAAGAAGTTGACAACAGGACTGGAGCACCTCTCCTACAAAGACAGGCTGAGGAAGTTGGGGCTGTTCTGCCTGGAGAAGAGAAGGATGTTTGGAGACCTCATTTCAACCTTCCAGTGTCTGAAGGGAGGCCACAGGGAAGCCTGAGAGGGACTCTTCGTCAGTGATAGGACAAGGAGTATCGGGTTCAAATTGAAAGAAGGGAATTTTAGGTCAGAATTTTAGGAAGAAATTCTTTACTGTGAGGGTGGTAAGACACCGGAACAGATTGCCCAGGGAAGTTGTGGATGCCCCAACCCTGGCAGTGTTCAAGATCAGGTTGGATAAGGCCTTGAGCAACCTGGTCTCATGGGAGGTTTCCCTGCACATGGCAATGGGGGTTGGGACTATAGATGATCTTTAAGTTCCCTTCCAATCCTTAACATTCTATAATTCTATACTGGGTCATTCACAGGAGCTATAAATTTAATTCGTAAGCATGAGAGCCTTATCACCGAGACCCGATGCTCTAGAAAATGAGTCTCCAAATATTGTAGCAGCTGTGGTGAGAAACTTTTATTTTTCAGGCACTGTGAATAGTACAATTAAACAATTAAGCTCTAAAGTACATCTGGGAACATGGACCAGAAGATGACAAGATCAGCAACCCTCAAGGCAGGACAGATTTGCAAGTTGTAGTTGTACGAGTTTGGTGGCTTGAGGATAGTGGTCCCCTGGTGAAATTCCCAGCAGGCAGCCTCAGATTCTACTCACTGGAATTAGCCATCTCTCCTGCCAATTCAGACACTTCGGTCAAAATGAGACCACTGGGCTCTGTTTCTGAAGAAGTATAATTAAATATCCCTCCAGTTCTCAATCTCAGACAACCCATTGACAGCCATATGATTCCTGCTACATCTGAAAAATACCGATGGCCCCACATCTTACCCTCTTTGCAGGAAAAATAAGGAAACATAGCCAACTTGTTTTTGTAAGGAGACCACTAGCATCCATGTAACACCTTGACTGAACAAATTGAGCCTCTCTTTTATTATTTCTTCTATTAATGGTGATTTAGCCATTGGATTTAGTTCCTAAAAAAAGATCATTTTTTTTCTCTGTACTTTTTAATGATGTGTCTACAGCTGGGGTTACTAACCAGTTTATTATCTGCACCTGCCAGGTTAAGTAATAAAAGTCTTCGTGCTGGTACAGGGGACTACACTGGAGTTTACTCAGTTGTCTCACTGGAGAACATTACTGCTCTTCAGCTGATAGGGAGGCATGGGCAATTGCCTTCATACAGACCAGGTCCAGTACTTTGACACTGGTCACTGTTTTGCCCATCCCTGTGGAAGTGGCACCCCCATGTTGTCCCTGGTGGTCACAACATCGGGCAGGACAGCATTGACTCTAGTGCTGTCCGTGCAACCAGACTGTGCTCAGCTCAGGTCACTACCTATCCATGGGAACAGAGCACAAGGCTTGCCACTGCAAGCAGCTAAATGGCTTAGGCTCAGCTTCTTCCCCCTACAGCAACATCCATTGGGTTTTCTGGAGTGCTCCCTACTGTTAGCCTGAGCAGGGGCTTCTAAAGGAATCTCTCTTGACCACACATGATTGATTGATTGATGGAGCAGAAAGGGGCAAAGCTTCTGAGGCAACCATTCCCAAGTCCCAGACTCACAGCATCTTTGAGAGACTTTGTAGGGGCATAATAGATCTTGCCTAATTCAGGAATTAAGCGCAGCTATGCCAAATATTTATAATACTGATGGGCCAGGACAGGAAATGAGTTTCAACACCAGACGTGTAATTGTTCAGGCTGTCTAATTGCTACCTTGCTCCCTGGCTCTGCTTTGCAACTTCTTTTAATTAATCCTCTTCATGAAAATGTCCAGGGGTATTCTTCTAATGACAGTTCACACCATAGACAGCTCTCAGGAGAGCTGTATGGATTTAGGGAATTCTCCACTTGAGATAGGACCCCAATAATAACAAAAACATTTTCACTATGAGGGTGATGAAGCACTGAAACATACTATCCACAAAGGCCTGAGAAATCTCCTTCTGTGGCAACACTCACAGGCTTGGCTTCTGTACTGATCCAACTCTGAGCAGATGCCTGGGCTAGCTGATCTCTAGTAGTCCCTTCCAATGAATATTATTCCATGCTTCATCAGGCTTTCAACCTTTGAGTATTCCAGATGGTCTCAGTGCTACATTGTGGGATCTGAGATACACCTGCTCGTGTTCATGAAACAGAAACCACTGCCTTGGTGAACGGTAGCACAGTGTTCACCATCAGGAACTTGGAAATGGAAAACCCACCCTGTGTCAAGGCCCAGGGCTGCCAGAGTGGAGAGCAGACCTAAGGCCACTGTGCTTACACTGTGGATGTAACCCCAAGCAACAGGGATGTGATCCAGGTCTTGCCGTTTAGCCTCAAGATTAGGGACCCTTCCCGACTCTGAGCGGTAAGGCTGGGCACGCGTAGGCTGAAGGAAAAGATGTGCAGCCAGTGTAACCTGAAAGACCTAGAAGTCAATTACAACTTCAAGGGGAAGCACTGCTGAGTTTGGTCTGCTGAATCCATGGCAGAGTCCAACAGGGCTACCATGCTAGTTATGTAAATGCTTTTGGGGGACATTTTAAGCTTTTGTAGTCTTCAATGCAGTCAGGACTGCATTTATAAATGTTATGGCATTCAATAATTATGTAAGATAAAATAGTCAAAAATATCCTATCTAGCACTAAACTGGAAGTTTTGGGTGACAGGAGAGAAAAAGTTAATAGGAAGGTGTATGTTTTAAACTCAGACAAGATACCTTCTTTAGGAAAACCAAGTGACTGTGCCTATTCAGAAAATATCTAGAAGAATTGAGTTGTTCTTTATGAAACAAACTGTGGTTTCATTTATGAACCTTAGAACTAACTACAGACATATGCCTTTAGGAAAGATATATGTCTCCTTTAAAACAGGATAATAAGGAAGTATTTACTTAGTCAAGGTAAAAGCCCACGGAACCAAGAGAGCCTTACTGCTTTCCCACCCTTCTCAAGCACTAATTTCAGAGAGGTGATACAAGGTTTAATAACATGACCTTTATTGATGACAGTGGAAAGCAGATGTTTATTTTTCATAAACAGGAAAGAAAATATTACTTCCTATTATGTAATTACATAAAATCTGTTTAAATCACTAATATAAAAAAAAGTTAAAAAAAAGTTTGTGTACTTCATAATGTAGTACCATCAAGAAGTCCTAAGTAACTGTATTTTCTATAAGAAGGGGAAAATAAAACAAATTTGCATGGACAGAAGTCAACAGTATAAAAGAATTAAATGTATGTTATAAGGAATTTTGATTATTTGTAAGCTCAGTCCATGAGGATGGCTAAAGAAGTAGATCCTAGCAGGATCGAACCTTGCATATTTACACTCACAGGTGTAAAAGTAATATTGCCAGTTAATTGAAATATGCATTTTCAGTATTTTTCTGAAAATTACTGAAGTCTAGAAGCTACATTTTAAATTCAGATGTTCACATTTGAAATAAAATGCTTCTCACATCCTTTATAATTAAGGCAAAGTATGTTATCTTTTGAAAATACCTTCTATATAGTTTTTGCATAAAAATATGAAATAAAAAATAAAACTATATATGTTTAATGGAACACTTATGTATGGTCCAGCAGAATAAGGCACAAAAAGTAAATAAAATGCTAAAGCATATATAAAAGTTAATGTGTTATTTTAAGTGGAATATAGCAAAATTCAAGTAGTTCTGAGTATGCTCATTTCTTGCAATAGGAATACATTTTTATATAGGTATCTCATGCTAAGCCTGATGTACAAACATTCATCATGTAAGCATAATCTATCTGAAGTAGGTAATTTGTACAGTGACTTTATTTAGAAATCTGATAGTTTTCAAACCATCTGAAACAAGGCTCCTTAACGAAACTTCTCAGCCTGAAATCCAAGCATGAATTTTTCCATGAGGCAAAGTACATTGGTTTCTTGCCCAAATCACAACATGAGTTGAACAAGTTTTATCTGCATGCTTAATATGAAGGTTAATATTTTCATTAACATAAATGACAATTCATGCCCCTAAAGTTGGGCACATTTGCACAGTTTGTTTTCACAGGTGCTCACAAGCAAATTTTCTCTCTGTAAAATTCCACAGAGATTAGTGTACAGAATGGGTCTCCTGCATCAGTACAACTACATTATTGGTCAGAAACCTTTCAGGTGAGCTGCTATTTAATTTAGTCTGGAAGTATTGTCTGTTTATCAACAAATAAGCATACATGTAAAGAGAACAGAGAATCTTATGATATTTTGGTTTGATAGAAGGCATACATCATCATTTGTTGTCTGACTGCAGCATCAAAGCAGCCCACAGCCTGTTCCCTACCTCACCCCACCAAGTAATATCTCTAAGATTTTTGCAAAGGAAGGGAGAGCAGATGAAGTCTTTACTTCCTTCCCAAAGTTTCAGCTAGTTTCTTCAGTCTTTTCTTCAGCTCTAGAGGAAACTTCTCATAACACTTTTTGCAGACAGGCTTCATATCAAACTCAACGAATTTATTCCTAAAACAACAAAGCAAAAACCAAATTTTTAGCAGATGAGATTGTGAAAAAAGGAATTAAAAAAAAATCTCCTATTAAATGTGCACAAGCAAAATATTAAACCTCCAATTTATACATATATGTTAAGTTACTTTTACAAAGTTATATACACTGTAGACAGTGATTACTGTTGAGTAAGCTACACAGTTTTTACCCAGATGTCCGTTTTTATTAACCATGTAATTTAAAAAGCCTTTCAAACCTAATTGTACAGATAAAGAGACTAAACATAAGATAATGGAATCATAAGTTAATATTTCAAGTTGTAGTTGCATAAAAAATATTTTGGTTTTGATTGCCATAAGTTCATGCAGAAGCTTAAAAAAGCATCCTTAGCACTAACCAAAGAAGAAAACAGCAGGGATGGTGGTAAGAAGGAAAAAAGTTTACAAACAGATTGGCTTTTTCTTTTTCTGCTTCTCTTTATCCTTTGCTTCACGTTCCCGTTTGGCAAGCCGTCGCTTAAATTCATCTGGCATTTTCTCATAACAGTGTTTGCAGACAGGTTTTAGATCAATTTCAACAAACTTATCCCTTTAGAGTTAAACACAGAAAAATAAAGGACAGAAAAGGAGAAGAGTTAGGAAGCCTAACTGAAGGAAGACCTGAACAGACAACTGACAGAGACAAAGTAGTAAGTGGAGCAAGAGGAAGAAAGATGCACATATTTCCTCAATGCTGCTTAGATGTTCTTCATACAGTTACAGCTACACTGTAGCAATATTTACACTTTGAAGAGAACTACTGATGTGTTTTGAAGGCATCACACTTATTGATACACTTACTTGAGTGTTAACTTAGTGTTGCAAGTTGAACAAGCGAAACAGTTCACGCACCATGCCTTATTCAGAGCAGACACAACTAGGGAGATGTGAAAACCAAGAAATCATTAGCATTGCCAAAAAAAAAAAGGTATTACAAAAATTTTAATCTCACATATTCATGAGATGTGAAGAACAGTCACTGATCCTTGTATCAGGTATTAAGGACCATAATGATTATGTGGCAGGACTAGGGAGGCAAATGTAGAGTGTAGCGTAGCAGAACTGTGAAGCATTGATAAAGCTGTCTCTGAGGCAAGACTGGCTTAACCTATTTTTGCCTCCTATTTTTGCTTCCACCTCATCATACACCATGCTGATCTCAGGCAACCATTCTATGAGGCCGTGTTTCCAATTTAATCAGGAAACGTTTCCAGCTGAAGAGAATTCCAGCAAAATACTGGATTCTTATAATTTGCAACAACAAAAAAGTGTCAAATTTGTGCACAGAAATGAAAGACAAAATGTAATCAAACACATACATTGAAAATAAAGAAATTACTATATTCTGTTTAGTTCAGAGACCAAAACATACACTATAGGTGTCAGATTATATAGTGAAAGCTTGCAATCATACAAAGAAGTAGTCCTCCAACAAGTTCCAGTTCTGCTCATTCTAGTAGAATTTCAATGAAAAGGAGGACTCTGTTTCCTTTAAAGCATTTTGGATTGTCATTCTGTAGTTATAGTCCAGTCCAGAAAATGTGTGGAAAGCACATCTCTGGAGTGTATGTCTTATCCTATAGTTACCTGACTATAAATGAGTATATGTCTCGTTTTGCACGTTAGACGCTTCCTCCTACTTTGCTAATGGCTTCGGCTTAGGTGAGGTTAGCATTGGTATTATAGTATTTACTTTGGGCAGGGGTAAATAGGCACATAATGTCGCATTATTTCAGGCAGAATAATTCGCTTTTGGCATTTTATCAGAGCTGGTTACCCAAAAAGCCTCTCAAAACCACCCCCCCTCCAAAAAAAAAACCAAAACCCCCAATCAAACAAGAACAAAACAAACAAATCACTATCAGTTCTGCCTTTACAGGACACATATTTCCAAGTATTATCATTCCTGGTTTTGTGACATTATCATTAGCCTAGATTTTCAAAAGACAGGTGCCTATGATAGATAGGTAAATATCTCCAGGAACCACTGGCATAATGGGAATAAGGCACTTTAAAAAAATTCCTAAAAGTGCCCACCTACATCTTTCGGTATCTAAATATTTTTTCAAATTTGGTTCATGATCCTCCTTTAAGGAGATGTCTGTGTGGTCATTCTCACCCTTGCATGTGTTCTTTTTGAAGCTGGTGGGGCAGGAAGCCACTCCTGAGCATCTTCCAGCATTCCTGGCCTTTACATGTCACTAAGGGGTTTCACGGTTCTCTTCAGCCACTGGGTGGTCTTCTACCATCATGAAATGCTTGCTATAAGGTTTTCTTACCATTTGGTCTCTGACTAATTAGCTCTAATTTAATTACTGATCAAGAGAATGGCTGGGTTTTTTTAATGAGAACAATCAAGGACTCAACACAGGGCTGTTTTCCCCTTACTGTCACTTTTAAAGAGAACTTCCATCAGAAAGGAACATTAAGGAAACAGTTAGAAAAGTGCTTACCATCTCCTTCAATCACACGGTTGCAATGGAAACAAACATCACCAAATAGCTGAAGAGGAAAGAGAAGTAAGGGATTTTTAATGTGATGATTTTATCGAGGGTAACTTCTCTAACAAAATAACTGTATTTCAGCTGATGGGCACAGTTGCTTTCCTATTTGTTCCAGTAAAATAAGGAGAATGCTGGCAAGTCTGGTTTGGTTTTTTGCATCATCTTATCACAAAAGGTCTTTATAATATTTAAGATACACATTTGTTTACCTTTATTTGATCCTCTCTAAATCAGATTTTGTTTTGTTTTAACATTTCTCTAATCCTGAACATTTGAAATACAGCAGTTGGTGTCACATACACACTGTTACTAACCAAATAATTGAACATCTGGACTTACACGCATGATTAGAATGACATATTGCTGTTTCTGGCAAAAACTGTAAGGAAACATTATTTTTAGTTTAAAAAAAAATGAAAAGGAAACTTTAGGACAAAAATTATTCATTCTTTTTCCAGGCTTAACATTTGTCCATAATATAACAATTAAGAAGTGCCCAAAATTTTGTGTATTTTTTTCTAACTGCAGTAGTTAACCTAGTGAAAGACATCCACTCTACATACAGCTCTTGGCTGGTATATGTATTTGCCCCATCACAGCTGCAACACTATTACTACTAACATCATGGCATTTATAGTCTACAAGTAAGCCAGCAACAATCATCTGCCCTTTACCATCGACAAATTAAGACTCCCTCTGTAATTAGCAGGTGCCTTACAACTCCCAGATTTAACCCCTACTCTTGTGTTTATGTAAGCAAGGAGGTGAATGTGACACAACACAGATATGGCTTCCAAATGAAAAAGGTCTGTACATCATGGTGCTGGACTCCACAACCAGGGGAGTCTGGAGAGAGGGAACTGCAATATATAACTTCTGTATAAATGCAAGTGGTCACTAGGTGGTGTATTCTGACAAATTTAAGTCTTCGAGGTCTTCATCAACTTAATGACTGAGGGGGTGATGCAGCTATGTGACCATACAGTCATCTTAAGAGTTAACAGCAGTAGGAAAACCCAGGCTGCTCACTATAGCCTCATCTTCAACTGCAGTTACTAAGTGGCAAATCTTCTTTAACTTCTTGGAAAGACTGGGTGTCATTAGCTGTTCTGATCTCACAGGCATCTAAAAGCCTGTAACAGCTCTACTTAAGTAGACTAAGCTTGAAGAACATCTTGATACTGATTGTCCTGTGAAATACCTGCAGGTTTCTTTCTCTATGCAAGAATGATGAATAGAGAAATCTGTATAAATTAACTGCAACAGAACATCTCCTAATTGGCATTACACCCACAGGTGCCTTCAACAAAACAGAAGAATGTCCATGTTTTACATCTCTAATAAAATCAATTTGTGAGTTTACCAATTAATGGCATTTTTAAAAATATGCAACCTTACCTGATTGTAGTGAGTTTCACAATACGCCAAGCCCTTTCTCTCATAATGACGATGACCCAGGAATGGTTTTTCACATTTTGCACAAACAAAATGCTACCAAGAAAATGACACATAAATTTTTTTATTTTTTGGAAGTAACGTTATTTTTTCTGGAAAGCAAACCAACGAAGTCCACTACTGAACATGACTGAAGTCTACTGAGCTAGCTGTGCCATCTCTGAAAGCAAAGTTAAACTACATTTAGACCACTAAAATAATATTTCTTTTAATGTCTTCAAAATTTCAATCCAGAAGTTACCAAAAAAAAAAAAATCAAGCAAAGGATTCTCATTTTTTTATCAGTGAACAGAATTAGGAGTTATTAAATAATCTGCACCATCATTACACTCTTGTGAAGGAAGCGTTTCCTAGAGGAGATTTTCTAAATTTTCTAAACTAAATGGAAGATGTGGAACTCAATCTTGTAGATGGCCTTGAAATAAGAACTCTCACATGAACTGTTAAAAGAGATATGTATATGGCAGGTGACTATGGAAGACCTAGGGGTATTATGATGCTCAGTAACATGATTACCACAGATCGTACATGCACGGTTTTGCACTCTGAAATTTTCTTTTGTAAGGACCTCACCATGCTTCCTTTGATTACTGATCTTAGTTTCACAGTCAAAGCTCTCTGTAAGGTAGGAAATTACTCCTATTCCACAGTGGAAGACTAGCCACAATAAAGCTGAAGAGGGATTCAGAGAAAGTATCTATAATTCTTGTTGCAAACTTCGATAATCCTTTCATTGAAACTGATCAGCAAAATCACAGATTTTTTAACAGTAAATATGTTAATGTTTACATTTGTAAAAGACATTATGTATCATCTGATATTTACCTCCACATGCCATTGTTTTCCCATAGCATTCACCACACGGCCTTCAATTGGTCTTCTACATGCCCCACAGATGGGGACACCCATTTTGTCATGGCAGGGTAAGCAGTAGAGTTCTCCCTTCAGCTCACGAGCATCAGCAGTAAGTTCCTTCCTATTCAGAAATTAATGAATTGAGAGCATGAATGAAGGCACTGAATGATATCAACTCTTGAGAGTTTATGAAAAAAAAATAATTTTTAGTATTTGTTTAGAAATTATATTTATACTACAGTGATGAGGCAGCATCAAATATAACATAGTTCAACAGAGTTCAAGACTCATCACAGTAAACTGAGAACAGGCTGCTAAGCGAGGTGCACTAAGTCTCTTGGAAACAGCTACTGAACTATTGTCATTCTGCTTACGCAGCACAAATGTGCATGTGAAAGCTGCAGATGTTTGGTTCATATACTGGCACTCATTACCAGCTTATTTCGGATTTGCGTAACTGTAGCTGAAAGTAAATGTAGTCCTCTACGTCCAGGTACATTTTCCTTGAAAGAAAACTACAGACCCAAACGAGCTAGGTTTATTCATTTCCAATTGCAGAATCTCATACATTCTACTTTTCAGTAAAGTGCATGGTTAGATACTGAGAACAGATAAACCTTAAAAGTGACCATAACCACTAATACTCTCAACTGGTTGCCACTGACAGAACACTACATATTGTTATTCAAATCAGCCTTTGCTATGGCACTGAAACAGTAGCTTCCTTTGCACCAGAAAGAAACAGCTAAGAATCCATGCTATGTCCTGCAATGCCCCATGGTCCATGCATCAGTGCAGGATGTAGAAATGTGCAGTTTCACATGCTGCAGCAGCAGAAGCTGACAAAATGAGGCGGGAGAAAGCTCCTAAAAAGGATAGCCTTTAAAAAGAGAGAACAAAGTTTGCATACCACTCAACTAAAAAGAAATAACATAGGAAAGATAGTAATTCAAGCAGGAAAAGAGGACCATTTTTCTTCTTCTCCTAGCAGAATAAAGAACTATCATTTTGCTGCTACAGAAACTGTATGTGTCCATACTTCATATTTTGTAAGGTACCACCTTGTCCTGCAGAGTCCAATCTTTCTTTACTCCCCAACAGTTCAGCTGTTGTTCAAATGCTACCATGCCAAAAGCAGTAACACACATTTGGCCACAAGACATCCAAACCCCATTCCCTCTTGCCAGCTGTACAGGACAAGTTTTCACTTTAAGATGTAAATCCATGAATCAAATAAGCCCAGCATTTTCCTGTTTTCCTTTGCAGAACTCAAGTTACCCGCAGTTTGCACAGTTGAAATGATCAGGGTGATAAGGGTCATTTTTGAATATGAGAGGCTGTTCATCAATAATGGCATGACACTTCTGGCAAATGTACTTTCCCAGGCCTCTGGCTTTCTCCCTGTTATGGCAAGGACGGCAGAGATGTCTGAAACAACATAAAAAAAGAGAGGTAAGTACTAGTACCAAGTATTACACTGCAAAAATCTATCAAAACTTCATTTCAATCAGTCCTTTTTGGGGGGGAAAGTAATCTTTAAAACAATTTCTTTGCTAGGCAAACCAAGTTCAGAGCAGCAAAATTATCTCCTAAGTTCAGGGTGATCATTTTATTTTCCGTCTCCACAGGAGTATCATTTCTTCAGCTGAGTTTAAGCCTATGTTGAAACACAGAAAACAAAGTTTGCCATAGATTGTTGTTGCTGAATGTTTTACTTTCAAAATCTTAGAAATTTAGATTGGAAGCTGGATGACTACACAAATCGTGATTCTGTAGATAATTCTGTATGTTATATTATACATATGAAGGCAATGGCCATAGAATTCACCTGTAAAACATTCTTCTGATCATAGCTGGTAAAAATATCCTACTCCATGAAGGGTCACACCGAACATAAAGGAATATTAATAAATAAGATGCCAAACTAGACCAAAATTGGAGAGCCCGTTGGAAAAAGAAAGTAAAAATGTTTTTTAAAAAAAATGACAGTACTTCTGTATCTGAATGTTTTCTCTGTTTTTACATATAACAATGGCCCCAAAATGTCACTGGGTAGAGAGCATGTTTGCCAAGAAACCTACTGTTGAAATAGGTACAATGTTAATATTTTAAGGTACCCATTCTTAGTTTTGTGATGCACTCTTAGATCTCTCCCCCACAGAAGATGCTTCAGTTGCTCCATCTGAGCTGGAAAGCTTCAGGAACCAAAATCTCTCAGTCCCCCCTATTAGTTAATTTATGACCAGTTAATAAAAGGAAGAGTGGAGATCTACCTGCCAGCATTCTTGACAAATCCAATATCAGCCAATACTACTTGGCAGATATCGCAGCAGAAGCACTCTGGATGCCAGCTATTGTTCATGGCTTTAATAACACGACCAATAATGAACTCACCTGTAAGAAACACAACACCAGGATATAAAATACCATTCTAGACAAAGTTAAAAGCACTGCAATGACATCATCATCCGTTTCCTCTCCCCAGAATCTGGTAGGACACATTGCTTGCAGTATCATGGTTCTGATTCCAAACTCTGTAATTTGGGTTTTTTCATTGTTTTTTGCTATGGGTCAGAAGAAGATGCCCTTGCTGATGGAGAACATTCTGCTCTTTACACACAAGTCCTTTTCATGCACACTCCACCTTCTCTCTGCAATAATCTTTTTTCAGTCTCTTCCCTGTTTTTACTTATCTGTTCTCAAGCTGTTAAGAAATTTATGGAGTACTTCATATAATATGGCTTTCTTGTGTCCTAATCATCCTTCTCCTTCTTTTCTTTAAGATGACAATCTTAACTTGTCATGTACATAGCAGTGGTTTCTACTCCACTAGGACCCAAGCCTTGATGGGGCTCTATACTAAAAGCACAATAGCACTGAGCTTGGGTGGCTGTGGACCTCCTGCAAAAAAAAACTCCCATGGAGTTCAAATGCAAAGCTGCAGTGACGCTGCACACACACACACAGCTTCTAACCCTCGGGGTGTAGCCAAGGCCCCTGAGCAGTGTAAAGGCTCGGCCTAAATTGTGTTTGGGAGCTCAGCTTCCCAGGGCCGTGGGAGGCTGAGTCCTGGCTTTGGAGAACAACTCGCCTCAAAGGGGAGGGATCAGGCAGGTAACAAAGGAACATCTAGGAACAAAACCTGATGGACTCCAGAAATGTGAGGAATGCTTGAGGTGTCATTGTGACAACAGTCCCTTGATTGTGGCTCTGCTTACTAAGTACAAGCAGTGGGAAAGCCCAGCTCCGTGCAGAACCTTGATGAGGTTTTAAGGGAGTTGGCACTACATGGAGCCAGGACAGAAGGGGGAGGTGTGCCGGCTGGGCAGGAGAAATCCTGGAGATAGGGAGTGTAGCTCCTCAGGAATCACTGCCAACCCACTTCTTCCTCTTTCCCTGCTTGTTCACGTCTTTAAATGCAAAGTTCTATAACATCTGCTTCCCCCTTCCTTGGTGTTCAACCCCTCCCTCCACACAAGGAAAGGCCTCACTGAGATAAGTGAAAGCCATACTGCCTTGCCAGGGTGCCATAGAAACACAAGAGCTTCCAGACTGGTTTAAGCAATAGTCAAATAATGACTTCCCAGCCATGCCCCAGCAAAATACGTCGCACACAGGGGAAAAAAGAAAACATGCAAATGATTATAGCACAGTAGACGCACAAGCATTTACATTAACAATGGCAAATAAAAAAAGCAGCCCTCAGAATTACATAGGGTGGACATTAGATGCTGAAGCCCTAAAGGTATTTGTTTCAATAAAATCAACAGGGGCCCAGCTGACCATCACTTGATTATATCACCAGCTAATGATGATTGTCCCAGCTTCTGTGGAGTAGGATGGCACAGGTGGGTTAAAATAGTCAAAGCAGATGACAAAGCCTTGTTGCAGGGTTTCAGATACATGAGAAGGGCCAAATATGAGCATATGCAGAAATACAGAGATATGGAATCAAGAGTCATGAATGGTGTATATAATCAGAAATTTATGAATGGTCTGCTCATTGGATCACTGACTCAACAGCTAAACTACTTACTCAAATAATGCAAACTTTTTTTAAAAAATACTGTTGTTTGCTGACCTTTAGAAAAAGCAGCTCCCCAAATTCTCTGAAGTCTAGTACATTCTGCAAGTTCACAGGGCCCCTTCCCTGAGAACACACACAAGGGGTTGCCTTTCTTCCCCCAGTGACACTCCCATTTGTGATCAAGTGGTTCACCTTGATTTAAAACTTACCACATTGATGGCAGCAAGGGGCAAAAAGCATTTGAAAATCATGTTCGCAGTACTTCCTCCCTTCAAACTGCAAATGGAAAAAGATCTGAGTGTTAGAGGAATGAGGAACACGCTCTTAACATAAATACTGTAACACCCTGGTGTGTTTCCAGATACAATTAGGTAGTAAAACATGAGGGGCTGCACAAAAAAAACCAGACCATGAGCTATAGGTGCTAGGTATTACATCCACCCATTTTTATTCATCTACTAGTTAGCATGTAGTGTTAATAGCACACCATTCCTCCAATGCTGCCAAGAGTCTAAGGCATCTTCCGTCATCAATTTATATCACAAGAGACATCTGAATTCTGAATTTTCATGGACTGCTGAAACTCTGATGCAACTGAGCACATTCTGAGCAGGAAATTAGCTAACAAAAACCCTTGGGCAGTGGGAGAGGGAAAGCATTTTCCCTGAACCCATTTGATGTCTTCCTGACTCTACATTTCCTGCAAGAATGACCCAGCATACTGGAGGCAGTAAGTACGATGGGGGTAGGGAGAGGAAGAACATCCAGGGACAGAAATCTTTGACTTTATGGAGCAGTACAGCCAAAACATGAAGCGAAATAAGCCTTTTCCTTTGTAATGCTTATTTCATAGAATCATAGAAATCATTTAGGTTGGAAAAGACCCTTAAGATAATCAGTCCAAATATTAAGGAACAAAGTTCACTACATTGATCAGATTAAATTGGGATCTGATCTTAAGGGATTTGGACTTGGATCTGAATTTTATCACAGGCTAGATGAGTTCAGCTACAGTTCAAGCTCTCATATAAAAAAACTCATATGGAATTAAAAAAAATTCAACAGCACTGCATCAGTAGCTTAGCCAAAGAATATGTAAAAACATGTAGGCAAGTATGTGCTGAGATGAAGGAAAATGTTTAGATACCTTCAGGCACCACCATTACCAGATGCAAATGCCAACTGGCGTGTCAAAACCAGATAGACAATATTAGGTATACTGTAAAATGTTTGGATTTGAATGTCTCAGTTTAAAACAGTGGAAAAATGAGGACAGCAGGAAACCTCGCTCCTTTCATTTTACTGTGTCTAATACAAAACAAAATAAATAGCACAAAATACTACCTACAAAGTAAGTTTTCGTGCCTGGACAGAAAATACAGCAATGTGTTTCAAGATTACCTGTTTTATGCCATGAAATTGCAAGGATCAAATACAATATAAATATAATAAATACTCTTGCAAGTGGCAGGGTGGGGATCTAACAGAACACTCTCAAAGTCACTGGGTACTTGAGATTAGAAAACTCCTCTGCCCAACCTGAATTGCACCTATTAGGAACAGAAAGACACGAGCTCAATACAGACTCTTTCAGAAGTCTCTGCTAGGAATTTATCAAGTGCTATTTCAGTGTAATACTGTAAAACAGATTATTTTTTTTAATTTCAGCTTTTTAAAAAAATAGTAATTGAGAGGCAGAGGGCTATTACTTTCTCGAGGAGTAATGGAAATTATTTGTTCATTGTGAATTGTGCTTGCTTCCTGCCAGATAAAATCCTTTTCAAACTGAAAAAAATTCAAAAGCTTCCTGTTCTGTGTAAACAGGTGGTCCAATGGGGGATGCTTAGGTTTGCTAGGATTTTAAAGCCACCACATGTTGATCTGGACAGACCAAACAGGTTTTCTTCCCATCTGGTTTATGTCAGGTAGGTTGGTTCCCATTCAGTCTTGTTTGTATTTTCAATCTTCTTGACTCATTTGTGCTGCTCTTGTAGATGACCTAGCAGTTATCCATCAGAGAAAGCCTTGAGTTTCTGTAACAAATCTCATGGCACATATTTCAAAAGCAAGATAGTTTCACTGTTGTATGCTGGAGGTCCATGAGTTAAATGGCTCTGCATAGAACATCTCACTGTTACACAGCCACCAGCTTATCTGCGTGTTTTTAGCTAACTTAGTGGAAAGACATGTACAAAACCTGAGTCTTTAAAGATTCGCTCTATAAGGTAGTTTCTGGTAGGAAAACACTCTTTCTTTTAGGAAAACACACAAGGTGCAACTGGAATAGAAACAAATCTAACAAGCGCATTGCAACTGCACCTTCCTTTAATCTTCTTAAAGGTTATTACAAACATTTTAGAAAAAAGAACCGAACTGAAAGAAACCTCCTCTCAAGAGACAAAAGTCACATGCTATTCCATATTATTTCGTTATTATGATAAAACAACAACAACAAAAATAATAGTAATATATATTTCCCACTTATGGCTGTTGTGAGTAGTCCATAAAGATTTTGCTGTATTTCTTCTGTTCTGGGAAGCACCTCTCTAAGCCCTTCCCTCTCCTCCACCTCAGCACAGTACAGTGCAGGCTAGGATGCTTCTGAAAACAAACAGCACAAGGCTCTAAACGAACTCCCAGACCAGAGGTACAACTTCTCTCATCTAACCTCCCCCGTCTGAAGGTGAGGTGTTGACACTCCCCAGTGGGAGACATGGGCAACCTCTAGAAGGAAGGAGCCATTCTATGACCTGAGAGTAATGTGGGTTGGAGGAAATGCCCACTGACTGATTACAGTGGGGCCACCCTGTCCCTCTGAGTGCACTGCCAGCTGCGACTGAAGGTCTCCACTCAAGCCGTCTGTACTGCTACCTGCAGTGCTACCTGCACTGAGACTCTGCAGCAGCTGCTGTAGGGAATACACATCTCCCAGGTGGTGGAGTAAAAGTAGACTAGAATTGCTACCACTTCACACCTGACACCAGAGCAGAGCAAGTTTGGAAATTCTGCTGGCATGTGCTTGTGCTAATCTTTGTTTAGGTCGAGTGCATAAGAAAACTTGCTAAAATGATGCTGCTGAGCAAACTGGAACACAATTATACCCTTGCAGGTCCTAAACCCACAGTTTTAGGCATACAGTTCTCAGGAATCCAAATTACCATTTCTAACATAGGTTCATGAGGACATCTACAAAACTCCTGCTATGCTGTGCTGACTCCAAGCGGTGGAGGGGCCCTGCTCTGGTGTGGTACCACTTGTGCCAGCAAGTGACTTGGCTCCAGTGCCAGACAACAGCAAGCTGTGCTGATCAGGGTCCCTGTAAGGCAGCCTGGAGACATGTCCCGCAGCAAAGGAGACCTGCATCTCTCTGACCAGTTCAACCCCCACCCATGGAACACAGAGTGAAAGCTTATCATGGCAGCGTTTGACAGCAAATGTGATAAGCAGCTTAATGACTAACTGGAGGAACTCTGCAAGTCTTGTAATAGGCAGGGTAACAATATTTGCCTTCCCAATTGCTAAGAGCTAGAAATCATTTCCAAGAAACACTAGCTTAGCTAAACCAGGCACAGAATAAACACAAACTCATGCTGGGCAACCAACAATGCCCGCGTCTACCCAGGGGGAACATGTTCAGAAAGACACATTACCTGGCCGCACCTGCAAACACATCCATCTTCTTGAAGACTGCATAAAGGCAATCTGAGGAAGACACCCTTTATGCCTGTCTTCTCCACTCATTTTTTCTTGACAGTGATACAGATTATCTCAAGTCCTCAGAGCACTGTCAGCCACTCCTGAGCAATGGCCAACCTAAGCCCACCTTTTGCCTGCTTAGGGCTGTCCCTTCTTCTCATAGAATCACAGAATGGGCAAGGTTGGAAGGGACCACAGTGGGTCATCTGGTCCAACCTCCTGATCAAGCAGGGTCAGCCTAGAGCACATTGCACAGGACTGTGTCCAGACAGTTCTTGAATATCTCCAGTGAGGGAGACTCAACAACATCTCTGGGCAATCTGTTCCAGTGTGTGGTCACCCGCACAATAAAGAAGTTTTTCTTTATGATCAGATGGAACTCTTTGTGCATCAATTTCTGTCTGTTGCCTCCTCTCCTACTGCTTGACACCACTGAGAAGAGCCTGGCTCCATCCTCTTGACACCTTCCCTTCAGATAATTATATACACTGATAATAGTATACTACTACTTCTCAGTTGTCTCTTCTTGAGTCTGAACAGGCCTAGCTCCCTCAGCCTATCTGATGTTATTTTACTTCTGTAATAGTTGTGGCGAGAAGTGTCTATGCTTAACTGAAACTTTCCACTTTCTACATAACATTTCTCAGGCTATCCAGCCTGAAAAAACCCGTAGCAACATTAACCAAAACACATTTAGTACATGGTGATATTTTCATTCCCAGGACAATCTATTGGCACTCCCTTCTGACTTACTGTCTTTGAGAGCAGCATGTTTCAGTAAGAGTGCTCAAAGACCAACTGTCATGAATATGAATGTTAACAAGGTAGCAATAGGAAGGAAAACGCTTACATCCAATATATCTAAGATCCTTGCCTCTGCTACAGATTCAGGTATGGCCACCTAGAAGCACCCAGAGCAACAGGGAGTTTGTAATGTTCCTGACCTAGGCCCAAAAGTAAGACTTTCCTTTCACTGCAGTCCTTGTCCATCCCCTAGGAGACACAGGCTGCCTAGAGCACAATTTCCTCAAACTTATCTTTAACAAAAGACTATTCAACATTCTGAAAGAAGTCCCTGGAATGTCTCATTGCTTTTTGAGTCAGAAAAAGTATGAATAAAGTACTCACTATTTAGAGAAAATACATTTTATTGGTTTAAGACAGTTTTAACACAATTACAAATATTTTAGTTTTGAAGCATCCGTATCACTTTACGTTTGCCTCAGGTCTTAACATGCCAGGATGGACTCTTTACTGTGCCTGCAAGCAGGCAGCAGCTCAGTATATATTAACAATTGTAAATTGTAAATCAATGTGTTAATATCATGGGGTTGTTCTTCTGTTTTTATTTAATTAATTCTGCCTTGCAGTTCACCTTTTGATGTCTTATGGAATATTAGTCATTTACCACAATTTCTGCAAGACTATCCCTGGCGCACGGAAAAGTCTTTTGACAAGGCGAGAGAAAGCAAATCCCCAGGAATCCCTTTTGACAGTCTCTTTTCCTATTCACACTCCTCTCTCAGCCTCTCCTCATCACCTCATAACATGGCTCTGTAAAGTTAGAAATGATCCTTTGGAAGATAAACTGTTGTGCTCTTGCCATAAGGAGCACAACTGTCTGTCAGAGCACAGACTTGTGCTTTTAAAACACTGCTCACCTGCTTTTTCAGATCATAGTATGACTTAAGTCCTGTAACTGCTACCCTAAGTTGGACTATAAGCTACTTGAGCAGGGATCTTATCTCTCAGACATTAATTCCCCGGCTCATGCCATCTATTGTTCCTTATACCAATCACTTTGTATTTTATGAACCAGTCTAAAGCTTTCAATAAAGCCACTTTTTACCTGCATTTTCTCCTGAATCCCCATAATAGGGGAGTGTAAAAGAAAATAACACTGATACCAAAATACCCATCTGAGCTGAGGGCAATTGACCTAGAGATGAGAAATGTGAACGGGAACAGGTTTTAACCTTTGAAAGTGTGTTAAGAACTGGTAATTTTAGATGCTCTGGTGTGTTAGAGTCGACCCTACACGGGCCCTGCCTGGTTTGGCTTCTACATACATCCTGATCTCAGCATGCTGACTTACAGGTCATCTCTTTTCACTTGCCGAGCTGGCCTCACTCAAGTCAGCAATAAACCTCCTAGGGCCCACAGGATGCTGGGATTTCCCTCTATATGACTTTCTCCTCTAAGAAGTATGCTTTCTCTTTATTTTTGGTATGATACATCAGATTCACAAACTGCAGGGAAAAAAATCTGCACTGAAAAAGGAATCTCCAGCAGTTTTTTCTCAGCTTTGATAACATTAGGCTCCATATTTAAATAAGGTTATATATACTATTGTCCTTCAAATTAGCATAGAAATGCTTCCTGGCTTTTTTCTCCCTTTACTGGGCATACCATTTCAGAGCCCAGTTCTGGCCATGGGACTTTCTAAGCCATGGATCTGCCTGTAGCTAATCCTGGTATGGGAAAGAAGGCACAAGACAAAGGTTGGGGGTGAGAGGGGCACTCTGCCCCGCTTACCTCGTAGAAGAGCCCTTCAGGGAACTGCTGAAAGCACTGGGCACAGACGAAGCACTGCTCGTGGTACAGCTCACCGTTGCTGTTGACTATTTTCTCGGCAGGGGCAAAGCCACCCCTGCAGCGCTCGCAGATGGCATTTGCAAGCGCGTTCGCCATGTTGCTGTTAATAATAAAAAAAACAAACACAAAAAGAAATAGAAAGAAAATTAGCTTAAATAGGCAACAACACTGGTTGTAGGTCTTTTTTTCCCCCAAGGCCAAACTGCATCAGCCTAATGCAAGGCTGCTCAATACAATTTTTTCGATGGACTTCATGGCTTGTAGTATCCCCTCAGAAATAAAACTACCACTTCTCCCTGCTCCTAAACTCTTTAGAAACAAAAGCCTCATGATGAACTCTAATTAATTAAAAAAACAAACAGAAATGTTGTTACAACAAAAATGTTGTTATAAATTTACAGGCTTTTTATGATGCGAAAAGACAGGCAATTCAAAGTACTATAAAAATTGTTAAATACATTAGAATTACAGAAAACAAGGGCAAATTATGAAATATATTAGAATTACAGAAAACAAGGGCAAATATTAACAATAATTGAGGACTAGCACCACAAAGAAAAACATAAATGATTAATTCTAAAGAATTCCTAATTCTAAAATATATATGTAACAGCCTTAGTTCAAAGCTCTAAATAAACAATGTGAAAGAGTATGCAGTATCTAGTCTGGCACATATTAACAACAATCAGAGTAGGTAAACAATTATCCCTTATACAAGCTCTGCGTAGCTTGAGGTCATTTTACAAATTTACTTTGAAGTCATGGGATTTTTGATTGGTTTGTGAAGGTTCATCTCAGAGAGCTCAGCTCACGATGTGCCAACTCACAGCCCACTCCAGGGCCATGCTAGAGGATGGGAATGCTCCAGCTGCCCCACGGCAACCCACATGCAGCCCAACACAAAGTCATAAACCCATACCAGGGATGCAAAAATATACTCAAATAGCAACCTTGGTTGCTTCTCAAAGGCACAGAACCAAAAAACGGCAGTGTGGTAGTTGCAAAACATTAGAGGAATTAGCTACTTCACTGGGTTCATGTCCACATCTGCAGAAGACACTACAGCTGTGTTTCAGTTAATTAAGGCCAGGAAAAGGCTCTCTTGATTTTTCCTTTGCAAATATTTTATTACTCATATCTAGACTCAAAGCTATGCCTTTCAAGATCACCTCTCTGCCCTAATACCATGTGATAGCAGAGAGCAAATATAGAGCAATGGTCTAGTTTCATTACAATCTGACCTCAGCTGACAAAATCACTGACTCAAAACATCTATTTGGAAGATTATTAGACAAGTGACATTATTTTAAACACATATGCACACATGCACACATTTTGGTACAGCTGTCATGCTGTACTTGTAAGTGCAGAGCCCTCAGTCCTCTGCAAGATGCCAAGACTTCCTTTTTATCCCCACAAGGGGATAAGACTTCTTGGCTCCCACCAGGTTCAATAGGAATTGAATTCATTCCGTGCGCACCATCCAAAGGAGCAAGCAAACACCTAGCACGTGGTTCAAAACGGAATGTGTTTTATCTATTTCTTACACTGTCTCACAGAAGAGCCCTATGCAAGGTCAAATCTGACCAGTTATTATTAGCTGGTGCTTTTTTTTCCTCTCTCTAAAGATCTTTGTAGAAGAGAAAAACAGTAACTGCTATCTAAATATTCACTGCTGTTCCAGTGAAACAAAAGTGGGCAAATTTCACTGGAAGATCAGACGGGGAGGATGGTCTCACCCGTATGTAACAGACAGACCTATGGACAAACTGCAGTGACTATACATACGAACTGTGATTAAGTATACAGCTTGCTGATGGTCTCCATGGATTGTATACGCTTTCTGTGGGGGAAGACCTCAGTCAACTTCCCCATCCTTTTTATCAATCTAAGTGAGGAATAATCACAACAGAAACTGGGACCTTTCATCACTTCAACAGTGCTCGAGCACTAAGGATGTTAAGCGCTGGCATACATAAAGTATAATCCAAGCAAAAACATGAAACAAAGTTCAAAATCAAATGAAAACACTAAGTTTTCCTCCTCAGTACACAAAAGTGCTTCACTTTGAAACACTTCATATATGCAAAATCAGTGATATATGTAATACTTCTGCACTGATGAAGCAGTTTATCCATTTGCCCAAGATAACAGGCAAACAACCTGAAGGCAGAGAGACTACCTGACAAATTCCAACCCCATTTTAACTGCTGATAAAAATTTCTGATGCAATTAATGATGAAATTTAAAGCAACAACTCCAATTTTAGCTGACAGTTACCACTGGCAATGTTTCAAGCAGAACAGTGGCAAAGGTTGGGTAAGAGAACAGCTTGCACAAATCTCAGATAATAAAACACATAAGCACAATACACATGCAATGTCACTGCAGTTACACTCCAAAGCTGAACAGAATGAACTTACAATTTTGCATAGAAGTCACAGAACTCTTTGTAGAGTTTTATTTCACTGTGCCTACGTTGCAATTTTGACACTGGTTTCTCTCCTTCATTTCCTGCAGAGTTGTGAGCATCAGGAGCAACCTTGTATGCAACCTCTTCATCCTCTGGGATGGGGTACGGGTGAGCTCTGTGCTGGAAGTCCATCTCTCTCTGATTGCCTTCCTGGGTGTATATATTCTATGCTTATACTGCAAAGAAGCTGTAGGCAAAGCCTGCAAAACAGTATGCTGGACTTCCCCTTGTTCCCAGCGAAGTGATTTACTTTCACAGTTCCGTGTCATGTAGCCAGAGCTACTCAGTGCCCTGCTAGAGCTTCAAGTTAAAAGTTCAGTGGCGGGGCGGTGAGCCTGTCACACTGTGATTTACTGAGGCTGGCTGTGCACAGAGGAGCAAATTTTCCTGTTAGGCCCTCATGTAAACTCGGATGCTGGAAAGGGTCTTTGCTGCTGGCTACTGACAGAAGCTGCCCAGGAGAGCTGTGGTGTGAGCAGCGTATGTGAGCAAATATGTTCACCAACAAACTTGTCCACAGCTACTTTCTGCTGAGGGGGGAATGGAGGTATATTCAAACAATATTTTATCATGGGCAAACCAGCAGTGGGAAGCACAAAGAGAAGAATCCTGTCACTAGGTAAATATTGCTTTAATGCTACAGTATATTAATTATGGTGAAAAAAATGCCTTTAATGTTTCGCTTGTGTCTTCTGCTGTCCTATGCGCTGAATTTACCTATAGGCATCTTTCTTTGTGTCAGCACTTTGGAGAAGGGACAGGTACAGATGGATAGTTACATTTATGTTGTGCTTCACAGCCCACTAACCAAACTGCCACATATGCTATAATGGGCAATATATGAAGGAGGAAAACTAAAGCTTTATTTCCAGTGATGTGCTGCATTTAGATCAATTTCACATAAGAACATTTACTGAAGTAATTTACTGTGGATATTAAAGAACTGAGAAAGCAAGACTAGGAAGAAAGAATGAAAAACAATTATTCCTTCACCACAGAATGCCCTCCTAATGTTGTAATTATTTTATGTTCATATTCTATTTAAAAAACCTGTTGTGCACCACTTACTAGGGAAGCCAGGGCTGATTAGCTGCAGATCTCTAGCTAATAACTACACTACTGCAAGCTTTCCCTACTTGAAGCACAGTGCTTGTGGCAGACGTGGGATACTTGGTTTCCCACAACTTTTAACTGCAGAAAAGGCAGGCTTTTGGAAAACTCTCTTGAGTAACTACCTCTGGCGTTGGACTGGCTCAGCCTTGTTTGTAATCAGTTGAACTGCAGAACCGCATGCGCTTTGTGCTCGTGACACTCAATACCTTGATATCTGAAGAATCTGCTAGTCTTCGAGGAGGACGAGAAAGCAGAGGATGACAAGGAGATGAGCAGAGGGAACAAGTAGAGAAATTAGCACTTGAAGATCAGAGAATCAATCATTTTTGGATAAGACTTCAAGATCACTGAGTACACACCTTTTAAATACCTCCAGGGTTGGTGACTCCACCACTTCCCTGGGCAGTCTCTTCCAGTGCTTGACAACCCTTTCCATGAAGAAATTTGTCCTAATCTCCAATCTAAACCTCCCACAGCACAACTTGAGGCCGTTTCCTCTTGTCCTGTCACAGGATATGACAGAAGGTCCAATCAAGGCTAAAACTTCTTAATATACCTTCACCTTCCTAGGACCTACTACTGAGGGTCTGGTTGATGATGCGTTTTGGCTGTATCTCTCAGCACTGGTTGGGACAGATTGCTCAGTCAGCGTACAGCAGCCCACACGCCCCTCTCCATGCAGGCCTGAGCTCGCACGTAGCTGTCTTCCCACAGCCTGGCCAACACAGCCCTACACTGCTGCTGCTGCCAAGTTTGTGGGATGGGTTTGGTCAGGCATCTTTCCTTCACTTCCCCCAACAAGGAGCAACCCCCGGGCAAGCTATTGCTTGGGTCGGTGGGACCCAGGCAGCATGACCCTGCTTATTTATCCATCTCTAGGTGTGCTTATGCATCCTGCATCAGAGCTACCAAGAGTTACAAGCTGTAACAGGCTAAGGAGGCTGCACCCACACCACTGACACAGCTTGGCTGCAGCTCAAGCCCTATTTTTATCTCTCACGGGGCAAGAGATGCTCAGGTTGTAGCCGTAGGCCACAAAGATCTTGCCAGAGCACCGCTGCAGGAAACAGTCCTGGAACAAAAGGTTTCTGCGTCCACTGGAGCACCAGTGAAAACGAGCAGTGTTTGCCAACAGATATGCAGGCATACTGATGCTGGCTCTTCTTCTCCATCTTGCCTCTCAAACATTTTCTGCACAGGCCAGTGCTAAGCTCCTGTGGGTATAAAAAACTCCAGCGAGACAGACTGCAATGGACTAAACATGCTGATTCATCCAGGATTAGTGTAGGTGTACCAAGCCACTAAGATAAGAAACAGCAAGTCGGTCTGTCTCTTCCCCTTATTGCTGTTTCTCAACAATTTCTCAACTGTTTTCCTGTGTTTTGACCCAGATCACTTGCAATTCTGCTGGGAGGCTGCTGCTGCAAATCAAGACAGTTCTGTTTTTCTCCTGGTGGACTTCTACAGTCCTTGCAGTAACCTGAAATCCACGTGTGACCCAGGTAACTGGAAGCCACTTGTGCTGCCTTGTGTCCTCTGTTGTCAACAGGAAAATATTTGCTTGCTTCTTCAGCTGCTGCTGAGCAGTCTTCTGCGTGGCTGTAGCAACGTAAGTAGTATGGCAAGTCAGTGCAGTAAGATGTCCATCCAAAAATCCTGTTTTAATTTTCCTGGTTTTTTCCAAGAGGCAGTCCTACAAGGTAATAGAACTCCATATGTGCAATAAGTATAAGCTTCCTGGTTCTCCAGGCATATTACCTTTGCTGCTGGTGGAATGACTCCCAATGTCTTCCATTAATCAAGAAAAGAGTTTGACAGGAGTTTAAAAAGGGCCTTTCTGCTATTGGTGGAAAACACAGTTGCTACTGTGAAGGTTTGGTAATCCACAAATCCAGTGCAGCTGGCCATCTTTCTCTTTTCTGTCATTTTGCAGGAGGCATGCTGCCAAGATCTGAAATATTTAGTTAAAAATACACTGAATTTTCATTAGGGAATTCTAGGTTACCCTGAGGTGAAACCATCCACAGGGAGTCAGAAGCATGTAAGGGGTCGTTGATTTGCAGCAGCAGCTTCCCAAGGGATCTGGGACAAAACCTACCAGCCTGTTGTTAAGGACACAATGTTATGGAGAAAAGGGAGAAGTTGAGTGTTTAAGTGGAAAAGGTATGTAGGAAGGAATAAGACAGAGAGTCCTCCCTGGCACACTGAGGATTTTATCAGAAATCAAAATTGATGGTAGGGAAGGTGCTGAAAGAAATGGCAGACGAATGAAGGAGAAGTGTCTCACTGTGGTTACGGAGAAGGGCTTTGGAAAACAATAGCAAAAATAGCCACACTGCCTAATCATTGCTGAAGGATAACTGCCACCTCACTCGACCCTGCTTTCTCTGGAGTTTTCAGATCTGGCTGCCTGTGCTGGTGGCTGCCAGAGGCAGATGGGGACTCTTACAGAGAAGGCTCGTGGCTGGCCAGGCCCGCTGAGCATTTCACTACATGCCACAAATAGACATGCTGAGCAGTCACGGCTCCAAACAAGGTGCTTGGCAAAAGCAGCTGCTGCTTGGCAACCCTCTCGTGCCACTGTGAAATATCACTGCATCACCGGTGCTGCTGAGGCCAAACGGCCCATCAGGACGTGCGGGGGAGGGGGGAAGAGCAATGACAGTGCCTCCCTCCACTTCCCCCGTCGGTAGGTGTGACTGTGATTTCATTTCAACAATACATTAACAGATGCTATGCAATGGCTCTCACACGCAAAATACAGAACTACTAGAACAGAAATCTGGCTGCAAAATATGTGTGGGCTCACAGTGGCCTGCTCTGATTTCTGCACCAACATTTGAAAGCACTAATTGACCTTTTGTGTCTTTTTTTAATTGAGATTAAAAACACTCTTGGGTTCTGGTTGCTGCAATTGTTTATCTCTTAAGCAATAAAATACTTTCCATGTTAAGCTGGTCTCCTAAGACAGTTTGAAAGAAGGTATAAATCTTTTCTACAATAAAAGTGCACATTACAGGTAGGATTTTCACATGTGCCCAGCACTGCTCTAACTTCTGTTTCTATTAAAAATGACAGAAAGCTGTCTTGAAACCACTGCAATAAAAAGTCAGTGAATTTTGAGTGCTCCTAAAAGTTTCACCCTTTAGTCTTCACCACAAAAAGCATAATTAAGCTTATGTGGTGGGCGTTTAAATAGGGCAAACAAAAAGGTAACTCTGGATGTTTCATATACTTCAATATAAGTTTATTCTAGTATAAACATGTCCAAAAAATGCTTTGGCCTCCACAAACAGAGAAGGTTCACATTCCATCTCTCCATAAGGAAGTAAATATAACTGGAATAGACAGGTAAGCAGCACCTTCCCACACGATGTTTTACCATCCATTCAAGCACAGTGAAAAATCAGCCTCTGATGGAATTTGTAGAAAGGGAGAGCAATATGTGAGTGTAAGACTTTCCTGTTGTAAGTAATATTTCAAAAAAACTATTGTGTTTTCTTCCTGCTGGTTACAAACCTTACCAAATGAAGCCACGTTTTATGTAACCAAGTAATGACTTCTGAGTACTCTTTAAAACAACTGGTACTCTTTAAAACAATCATCTCTTCCTCCCCCACTACTACTTTTTTTAATCCTATGCAGATGAGAAAAACAAAACAACAGAAAGACACAGTATCATGTATGAGAAGCTCATGATCTTTCTATGTGCTGCATGAGACACAGTGTACTCTTGGTTATTCTTAAAATCTGCACCCTGTGTAGTTGACTGTAATGTATACTTGACTATGGTAAATATATCGTATCCAAATTCTTCCAACTCTACATTTTAAAGATGCTTTTACACTGATGCAGTTCCTGTAACAACATTTATAGCCCTATTCCCAATTTAAGAATAAGAAAAAACTTTAGCTACTCAATACTATGGGCTGCAGATCAAATGTCTCTGAGACACTCATTCTGAAAAGAATGATATTTTCAAGCCCAAAGAGACAAGATCAGGCCCACTATGCCCCAAA